GCTCAAGACTAGCAAGTCCCCAAAAGAGCAGCAGAAACTCCAGCACAGGCCACAATACCTACATGCAGTTCTGACAAGACAATACTGAACTCCCTCCAATTATGGCTAAATTACTGCTTGGTATTCAAGAGAACTTAGGATTTTTTCCAAAAGCTTTCTTCCCCATGTTTTTTTTCTGACTGCAATGAAGCTGCACAGTACCAAAAATGTTTTCAGAAGCCTTAGTCCTGCAGGAACATGAGCATATAGCTAAAACATCCATGTACTCTCTTGAGGTTTTCACCAAACAACCTGAACTAGTCAAATCCTTCAAGTTCCCCATCTTCCTCCCCCCCCAAAAGGAATTTCTTCCTCTTTGTATTTTTTTTTTTTTAAGGAAAAAAACTGATGGGAAAAATTAGCCTCAAGTTTTACCTTGAAATGGTCCTCCTACCCTAAGTTTTAACTATGGGCCACTGTGGGCTTGAAAATATCTGCACACCACTGTTTTAACAAAATCCTGGGATATGTAATATTTAATATTAAAAAGCTAATTTGTCACTACTGCTTTCCTGGAATATAACTTTCTTCATAGGGCCTTTTCCAGTCTCCTGTCAGCCCAATTTGTGACTCCAGGCTTGAAGCAGTGAGCTTCCGTTTTCAAGATGAGAAAATACCAGAATGATAAGAAACTGAAAAGTTAAACCATTTCAGAACTGCTCACACCAGTGTGAGAGATGCTTGTCTAAAATTGTATGACTTTATCTTTTACAGGTCAGTTAAGCTGGCAAAAGCCATGACAAAAAGGAAACATTTCTTCTACTTCAGGCACTCTGTCAAACAGCAGTGGTACCCTTGTTCTTAGGAAAAAAAAGGAATCGAAGCAATAGGTCACTGAGCTTTATTATTTTACTGACTAAATGTATCATGCTAGAATTTATTCCTGTGAGAGTCACACTCTCCTTAGCCTATTTTTACATCTTGGTTCTCTTTTAGATCCACCTCCTCAATGCAGAGGTTGCTCCTCACATCGTTCTCACCAGTTCAGTAACATCCTGTTCGTGATGAGAGTTTCTGATTCTTCACGGTTTGATGTTACGCATGTACATGGCTGATTCAAATACAATATGAAACTATTTCTGTGCAAAAACTAGATCAGTTTCTTGCACAACAAGATGGACAGAGCACAGCCCTCAACAATTCTTACAAAAGTTCTTCCGGTTTTCCTCTCCCCATCCTCAAGAGAAATCCAACTACACGTAGACTTTGTTGCTCTCATTGGCTTTGCTACTGATATCCAATTTTTAACCAGAAAATATTAACAGATTTCTGAACTTTCAGGCATGGAACCTTTAGATTTTTGTTGTGTCTCAATATGTTTCTTGTAGGTATTTTTCTGCTTTTTAGGATCTCTTCTACACCTGGGTACACTCAGTGATTATTTTTAGACTGCTGCAAAATTCCTTTATATAATGTCCTACCTCTAACACCCATACTTTTTGATTCAAATGTTTGTTTTCTTAAATAGAAGAGTTATTCAGTAAAGCATATAGAATTGGGGAAGTATTAAATCATTCTACAAGTGTTTTCTTCCTTATATTTTAATTTCATTTTCCTCCTTTACGATTTGATTATGTGGTAATTTTTTAAATTAGTTTTTCAGACACACACAAACTCAATCCTCACTTTCTTACAGTAAAATAAAAGATCTAACAAATTCTTTTATATCAGAAATAGTGGAAATCCTCAAGCCGGGAGATTAGAACAAGTCAGGGCCCATCACGGATGCTGCCATGTTAAGGTCACTGGTCACAGTGTAGAAGAGTCCCATGGAAGTACATAAGGGGGCAAGGGGGAACCAGAGGCTAAATTCTCTGCCAGGGAAAGCCAGGCAATGGCAACTCGGGGTCATCTGCCCCTTCTCCTACAACCTAGAAAGGGGTATACACCAAGAGAGAAGGAATCACAGCAGCACCAAAGTTACAGTAAAAAACAACCATCAAAACATTTTTCGTGACTGGTTTTGGTAAACAAGTTTGCAAAACCACTCAAGGGAAGTACACACAATCCTACAACCTCCAACCATAACCAAAGCCTGTTTTCCTGCTGCAACAGAACAGCAATCCCAGAATGAGACAACCAAACATGGAGAGGAAAACAGTACTTAGAGAGATAATACAATCTGACAGTTCCTTAAGGTACCATTTAATTACTGCATTAAAAATCAATCACCAATTTCTATGTAAGCAAACCATCAACCGACAGCTGCTTACTTATATTTGAGAAATGTCCTTTCATAGAAGAATGTCTGTCTTGCACACCTGATAACTAAAAATTTAGTTATACTGGATCATTAAAAAAAATACTGGATATTGCAAATGGTTTATAAACCAGTCCTTTAACAACAGTGCCTTCATGTGTTTATTATAGGCATTTTCTAATTTTAAATCTAAGATTCAACTATGTTTTATAGCTGTAATTCTGTCCTCCTACACATCCACAAGCAAATTAGGTCAATTCCAAACTATTTGTAAAACCTCCAACACAGAAAGGAGTTCGAGGTTTTAAAACATACGAAGTTTAAAATAACCAAAGTCAACCTACCAGTGTCATAAACCTTGTGAACTGTCAATTTTTTTCTTCTAGCCTAATAAGGCATCCTAAAGTAGTAAGAACCAAAATGTGAGAATGACTGTCCTTGGCCAAAAGTTGCATCCACGTCCTGTTTAATAACATTTTAATAATGTTTATTATATAAGTTTCCCTAATTAATTTCTAAACTTACTTCTACATTTGGCATGTGTAACATCCTGTGGCAATGAGATCCACTATGTAATTATGTGTCGCATGAAAAAATGTTTATTTTAAACCTACTGCTGGGTAAGAGCTAGGAGTCATCAAAACTGTGTTATAAGAAATGATGAATAATCATGTTCCCCACAGCTTCCCCATAACATTAGTAGCTTTATATGCCTTTGCATTTCTTCGGAACTAACTTCTTTTCCAAGTTGCAGCATCCTAACCATCCTGTTCAAATACAGGTATTTCCTTCCCCGTATATAAGTTAGTTTTATCCTTACCAAAAGAAAGAACATCTGCAATTGTTTGTACTATTCCAGATCGGTCATGGATGTCATCATGATGTTTGTATACAACTATAATGCAACTTCAAGGCCTCTTTTTTTGAGTAGTAACAATTTAGACTGCCATGCATGTTAGTTAGTAAGTTCCCTCCTGCAAGCTGTTATTTTGCTGTTTAGCCCCTTTCTCAGACTTATTAAAGCAGCAAAGATCTCCACATAGATCCCTGCAGGAGTCTACTCTTGGCTTTTGATAAGTGATCTTTTATTCTTACCCTCTTTTTTCCTATCTCAAAAATATATTAACCCGAGAGGGCTTTTCTCCTACTTCCATGACCATCTGGTTTCTTCAAGAAACTTTGACTGCAGCTATCATGGACTAGGATGGTTAGTTCATATGGGATATATAATTCTAACATGACTGTGAACTCATATCCAACCAAATTGCAAACTATAACCTGTCTACAACAATCATGTTGCCTCTTCTTTATTATTTTATAATTTCCATGTACATGTTCATTTTCCATATTTATAAACACACATCTTCTCATTGGATTCTACAACCTTTTTAATTAATTTTGATAAGGACAGAAAAAACAACTTTCTGGGCTTTAGCTTCACACATTATGCTACATTTCTAAATTCAGTGATTATATATTCGAATTACTCCAGACCTGTTGGGTGAACCCTGATTAGTCCAAGCAGTTTGTTATTACTCATTTTAATCAGCTTGTTCTAAAAGTTCTTCCCCCAACACTTGAACTTAAAGATGTCTCAGATGATCTGTTTCAAGTAAGCTGCAGTGCAGCAACCTTCATGTACCCTCCATAATTAACACAGATGCAAAAAGTCTTTGTAAGATTTGCTGCTAAAGATTTATCTTCTGCTAGTGTTCTCACAATGTCTTGATCCTTACTGGGCCTGAAAACTATTAGGTCTCTTGCTTCTGATGTGCCTGAAGAATTTCTCCAAGTTCCTTCTGTGCCTGTCTTCTGGTTTTCACACATAACTTACCAGTTATGCATTCTCCTGTTTCCCACATTTGGTTACAATTTCTACTTTATAAAGTCTCTCTTTACCTGTTACAGATTTCCCTCCTTTGCAGTTTAACAATACTGAGTTTGGGGGTTTCCCCCCCTGGTGATAGATGGCAGATATGTACTCTAATATTTAGTGTAGTAGCAATTGATACCACTAAAAGCTTTATCATTTTAGCTGTTCCTTTTAACTATTTCCTAACAAGCTTGCTCCCTTAGGTGTACGTGTCTCCGTAAGATGTTACAGCAATATATTTTACACTTGCTCTTAAAACAATACGGAAATTGTATTCATTATGGCTACTCTTGTAGGGTAGCTCAACAGTAAATTAATCTTAAACTAGGTCTTGTGCACTGCACATTTGCCAAGAAGTACTCCTCTTGTGAGCTGACAGCTTATCAGAACACCTGATATATTGTTCTTCACTTTTGCATTTGCTGAGTCTTCATACACATAACAGAACTGTGTAATAACAGGAAATGCCTCTTCCCTCAGCATCTTACCTCTGTTAGCACTTCACAGTAAGTTTTCATCTCATTTGCATGGGCAACCTAACCCTCACAGTATTTTGATCTATTTCCACACAAGTTCAAACTGTGAGTCTACTTTCTTATCTAGACATACACAGCTTTGACTGTAAACCCTAACGTAGAATAACGCATCTCCCAGAGCACAGTTTGCACTCTCATTTCTATATAAAAGTTTGCCCTTATACTAACATCCTCTTGTACCAATTTTCTGAGATGCCAAATACGTCAATATCTGGATTTCAAACAACCATTCCAGCTCTCACACTCATTTTTGCACATTTCAGATTTTGTCCAGAAGCCCATCTAGAACTGCTACTGGTCTAAATGTCTTTTTCTTATATTTTATAAAGAGAAGCAAGCAGTAAATACATACATGACGGTGTTAATCCCTGACAGTTGTTGAAACATCTGCAGACCACAACCCACAATTAAGGCTCTTCGAGTTGGAGGGTATGTTAGCATTCTGCAGATCACAGGTCCAGCTTAAAAAAAAAAAAAACAACAACAAAAGAATACGTAATAGTTCTTAAGTGATCGCTGTCAAGACAATGTTCCCAGGCATAACAGGCTTTGCACCTTAGTTTCAACAAACTTGGATTATTTCAATTGTTTTTGAAAAACTTGATTGTTTCAGTTTTGCTTTTCTGCACTGTACTACAACGAAGATTTTCAGGAAGCCCAGGAAAAAAAAAAAGAAACCATTTTTGTACACAGTGTATACTACTGGTGGCAAATGTACAGTTCTCTTATATCATTCTAACAGATTGCACATCTGTTGCAACTGAACGTAGTCAAAGTTATCACAAACTATCATTGTTGTTTCCTTTCTAAAAGCTCCCACTGTTACTGAGAGCTTATTTCAGAAACGCTATTATTCACTGCTCAGATCTGGATCTTGCAGATAAAGTGTTCTCCCCAGTCCCCCAAAGACTCAAATTCCACAAGCCAGTTACAAAGTGGGTACTTTAAAGGTATGGGATAAATCTATTCTGCACAGCTATAAGGCCAGCAGAGGGAGCATAAATTAATTAAATTTTTTCAATACCTTTGATAGTATGAGACTACATTCAAAAAGCAGAAAATATTCTCAATGAAGAGAAAACAAAAAAATTCTAGCAAACAGAGGAAGTTTTCTTCTCTGTTAATTTTATATTTTCAAGGTATCCTATTAAAAAAAAAAAAAAAGTAATACAGAAAGCTACATGATATCATGCAAAAATTTAAAATACTTGACTCTCTTATTTACTTGAATTTCTTTCTGCCAGGAGTGGTGTTTAGGGCAGAATGTAATCTGCTGGAAAAATTTTATGTTTTACACATCTTATCACATCTGGTATACCCATTCAGAACACCTAATATAGGTCACAATATGTACAAGTTAAAATAGTTACCATAAAAAAAAAAGTGAAGAGGATCTATGTTTTTACATTTTCAAAGTCTTTCCTGAACATACAGAAAATATTAAATGTGTTGATTCACTATAAAAACCTGTATCGGTTAGAGAAGAATGATTTACACACAAAAGGTTTCAACTTCAGAAAGCTGACAATCTGTGAACAGTTTCAATAGTGGAATTCACGAAAGGGGTTTAAATAACATTTTCTTGGAAATGGAAATATCTTTCATGGAAAGATAATTAGACCTGTCTAAGAAAAACTTATTTTCATTAAAAATTTACAGTATTTCTAACTCATATCTCATTCGTATCGTCACTTAACTTTGCTTCTTCATTATAAACAGCAGAATGCAGTCTGACAAATTTTCCAGCTGGCTTCCACGTAGCATTAACGTCCAGACAATACACAGTCCCACCTGTCCTGCCATATAGCCACATCACTACCTTCAAAATGTCTCTATCTGAGTAAAATAAACTGACAAATAGAGCCAATATATATATCTGTTATGATGTTCTCAAGCAAGACACATGATATCACTGGGTAGACAAGTATATCAAAGGGTTCAGTAGTCAAAGTGGCAACAAAACCAGCACTCGCTGTTAGCCAGGAGCAGTCTGAAGCTTGGACATACTCTTGGATTTCTCCTTGACTCCAAGCTTCACAAGCGAAAAAGATTTACTATCAAATGCAACTATGAACCTCAATTCACAAAAAAACAGCCCTCAGGTTTTCATACCCGGCTTCACACCTGAGCATGGAGATTTTGGGCTTAAAAATCTTTATCTGGCAGTGGATTCTGCAGCATCTGTCATGAACCTAGGCTGCTGAATGCCTATGAGATACCTTCCATTCTTCATAAACTTCCTATAAAGTCCTTAATGGAGTTCAAAACCCATCTTTATCTTCAAAGGACCTTACAGCTGACATAAATCTTGAAGTCCACCATCAATGACTATGCTTACTGAGTAAGCTAGAACTCTACAGCACAGGCTGTTAGGAAAGGAAGCAGAAATGTTCTAAGGAACTGATGCAAAGTTTTTAACAATTCCCGATCTACTCAGCTATTTGATGAAAGTTATATAAAACTCTGTTCACAATACGGCATTGTACAAAACAATTGGAAAGAAGGCATTAAAATGAATAGCTAGAAATTAAAGCAGCTGCTTCCAGACAATGGCAACGGACTCTCCAACAAAACTTCATCGCACAAATCAGTTTGTACGCCCGAAGTGGGGCCCTGCAGAAAGGTTAAGACCACGTAGTAAAGTCTAGACCTTTACTTTAGAACATTAGACTTCAGACCTTTAGAGTACCCAATCAGTTACATTCAGTAAGTACTTGCAATTTTTCAGACTTCTGATTAATTGAATCAGAAAAATAATGCCAAAAATCATCATACTGGTTCAAGTAAGAGATTTAACAGTTTCACTGCAAATCTGTACCATGGCAACTGCACATATCAATAGGCATACACAAAATTAAAGGATTTTCTTTCATAAAATTTACAGCCTTCAGGTTTACAAACCAATAAATGGAATGAAAGAAATAAAAGAAATCATTAATCTCTATATTAAAGGAGCTTTGCAAACTCCACTAAAAAACCCAGAGGACTTTGAATGGGAGTTGGCTGTTTTTAAAACAGAAAATTAGTGGGAAAGTTTTTATTAAAATTATCTAGTCCTAAAAGTAACTGTACTATTTTTGCATTTTCCTATCTTCAGTTCTGCCATCCATCTTATGTTGTGTTCATATATTACAGCCTTAAAACTAAACAACTCTAGGCAAAACTGTTGTTAACAGAGTCTAAACTGAAAAACTAAAAATAAAACAAGTTTTCAGAAATAAAATACAATTTTCTTCTGAAAATAAGTCTTCTGAAAACTGAAATTGTACTTCAGGAGTTTCTGATAACCATTAAATTTGCTGTTAGTTTACAATAGATTAAAATAGCACAAAACAATAAAATCATTAAAGCTTTAAAAAGTGGAGTAACTTAATTCCTCACAGATCTAGAGAGAAACAGGTGACACAAAAGATAACATCACAAAAAAAAATATTTGGCAATTTTTACAATTGAAAAAATAGATATTTGTCTCCAAAAGTCAGTGGTTTTTGTTCATGATACTTCTGCCTTAATTGCTGTTGCTTTCTCTTCAGCTAGGAAATTTAGAAACATTCCCGCATTGGAACCACTTCATTTGAACTTGAGAAATCACCAAGATGTTTGTTTTCCTCCTTCTAATCTATGAATAAAAGTCAAAAGGATGAGACCTCCTAATGTCATGATTAATTTAATGAGACTCGATTTGGTTGGACTTTTGTGCTGTGGTTTCAGATAATTACTTTATCTGAAGTAAATTTTCTTAATGTGTATGTTTACAAGGGTTCAAAATATGCTACAGTAAAGGGCAGCTGAAGCTTGCTCTAGGGAGAGTGCAAAATGGCAGCAATAGATAAAGAGCAATGGAAAAATAAGGATACTGCTGTTGTAGAAGGTGACGTTACATGAAGCGGCGATAAATGAAGTGGATAAATGAACTGGCTTTTTCTTAGCCTGGTCTAAACTGTTTACCTACCTAGACATTCATCCTTATAAGCAAAAGGCAAAAATAGAATTTGGAAGTTTGGCTTCACATCTGAAAAAACCTTATTAGCTTATGCTGAGCTAAACAGCGGGGGAGGAGCTGTTCCTGTCAAATCATTACTTCTGGAAAGCCAGTAACGCTTTCCAAATGTTACATTTTATAAGTGGTTATCTGAAATTTTTAACGCCAGCTTCCTATATTTTAACTCCTGTTCTTGTTACTAAGCTTAACCCACAAGTAAGTTAGGTTTAGAAAATGTGAATCACCTGCTAAGGCATTTTGATTTTCTTCTGTAGGTAAAATGGATCGTACGGTGACCATAGGAGCCTGGGTGTGATCCACCACCAACTAAAAGATAACTTTTCAGAAACAACAAAACAAACAAACCCTAGTTCTAAAAGGAGTTTAAATAATGAAAGCTAAAAAGCAATAGAACGGGTATTAATGATGTCTCAGCACCTCCTTCTGAAAATGTACTGCATACACTTCCAGGGAAATAAAAATACTGTAGACAGATATAAAGCCAACCTAAAAATCCCCCAGCAAATGCAGGCAGACATCTGGTGCCTGGAAATCTTGTGATCCCTCATCCCTCAAATTATTAGCCCAATAGTTAGCAAAATTTCACAGACAGGAAACTATGGTTAGAGACTGTGCTTTGCCAAAGTCATTTGCAGGTTCAAAAATTCTTTTGCCAGCTAATCTAGGTAACAGCTTGTAGCAACAGCTTAAAACTATGTAGGGCTCCTGCCAGCATTTTCTGCTCCAGCTGTAGAGGAGCCTTTCCAAAAAGACAGGCTTAGCCAAGCAACAAGACAGTCACTCATTAGTTTAGCATCAATTAAGCTCAACCTTCAGTTTAGTTTCTCAGACCAATTTTAGTTTCTCAGACCAATTCTTGTTCTAATGCCAGTCAATATGTTCTCTTCCACCCAGATAAACCTTCAAAGAACCAGTCTGCAGTTAGAAATGGGACAAAAAAAAGAAATGTCAGGCTGGTGATCAGGATAACAGAAGACAGACATGGGAACCATTTCTCTGGTTTGCCTTTCCTTACAAAATGACAGCTTCCAGCATGGCTTTCTCTGCATCATCTGCAGAACATTCCTCTACCTAAGACTCCTCCTCTAAAGCACTTAGAGCCAGCTACTATTTTCTGCATATGAATGATATACTAAAGTAAACACCTGTTCCCACTCCTAGCCTAATACATTATTATTTTCTAGAAGTATCAACTTCATTGATTTTTCCTTTCTGTAAAATTTACCACATCACAAGAAAAATGAAGTAGCTTTAAGATCAAAACTGCATTATTTATCCTGAGAAGATACAAAACAATTTTACCCAAGTACCAAGCTCTTCTGTCTTATAACATTTCCAGTAACATTGGAAGAACCACTGCCAGCACTAGAGGAAACTTCATACCTCATATAGTTCTCTAGTGCAGCTTGCCTGATAACTGAGTCTTAGTATTTTCCCATTCTCCACAGCAAATACATC